GCCGACCTGCCTGCTTCGAACGTCTTGGAGCAACGACTCCGAAGTTTTTGCGGCCCAAGCCGTAGGCTAAGAACGCGTAGGCGGGAAGGGAAAGGGCAGCGGGGCACTTGCCCCCTTTCCCGCCATGCAATGCAACATGGGTTTGCACCCTTCAAGAGGAAATCCTGCCGACGCCCCGGTTCAAACGTGTGTGTGTATTCCGCAACCTTCGCTCGAGCTGGCGCAGATGCTGAGACCAGGGGGAAAAAGACTCCATCTGAAGTGGAGAGCTGGCAGAAGCGAGGGCACTGAGGAGGAATGTTTATCTCTTTGCCACAATGTATATTTTTTTGTGTATACGTTCGTTTTTTTTTTTTACATTTCGGGACTGGGGCGAGTTTGAAAGCTTGTGGTCTAGAACAAAGCGCGCGTCAAATCGGCCTTCGAAACTAAGACATGGATAGACGAATTCAATGATTTAGCGTTCACCCAACCTTCGCTGTAGATGGCGCTCGGGTTTTCAGGTACAGCAATAGCGAGTCCGCCCGGTACAAATTGGCCACAGATATCACTATGATCGTCGTCATTCGGCGACAGAAATAAGAGGCGGTGGGATGATGATGATGAAAACATTTGGATTGGTGTCGCAACAGTGGGGTTGTAAAGGACAAAGATGCTCGGACAAACGAGGTCAGTGTGCCGTAAGGCGCAGGGAGTTATAGGTTTTAAGTTTTTTTTTTTTTACAAGATGATACTTTTAATAGACGTATACCCAAGGTACTACAGGCTGACTTCAAACAAAATTTTCTTTTTCGATCTTGCTGGCGCACGATTCACCGCCCCATTTTCAAAGGCGTCCACAGCACCCGAGAGTCGTCCGTCAATCGGACTCTGATAGCAGCCTTTCCGATCCGTGTTGCACGATTATCGTGGGCGTGTGAACTAACTGCGACGCGGAATGATATCCGCCACGATCGATAGCAACGTGCCCGCTTTACAGATGACGTCACACGTGAAGTTACGCATGGGTGACGCGACCCCTAGCTGCCAAAATGTGCGGTATGCTTGACTGCCTGTTGGAATAAACAGTGACGCGCTTCCAAGCGCTACTACTAGGCCCTTTTTATAGCCACGCACAGTGAGCGTGATCGTTAATTATACTCGTCTTCTTAACTACAACGCGGACGCGTGGAACTTAGGCCGCCGTCCGCGCCGTTGATTGACACGTGAAGGACACGTGACCAAACTCGAGTGCCGCTGAGCCAGTCACCGCCAGTCATTGTCTGTGTGAAGCCAAGCGATTCCGCTAAATACGCTAAGCGGGAACGTGTAGATCATGTACCCTTAAAGGACAACAACGTTGCCCACGAGCAGCGTCAAGGTTACTGTCTGGCGGGAAAATGTTCTCGCAGACAAACATGTCTCAAGAAGAAAGAAGTGTGTGTTCGTGTATCCCGCGTAGAGCGCTAAACATAGCCAGAAAACCAAACTTTGTCTTCTTACTATATTACTACCAATATACCCAGTACGTGATTAAGATTATGGCGCTTGCTCGGAATTTCACTGTAAGTGCAGTCGAGAGCTGAAGCTTAAATAAAAACTAATGAAAAAAAAAAACGTGAATCTTGAAAGAAACGCGTGAATATTACCTTTATTCACTTCTAATTAGCTATACAGTTACCCGAGTAGCTGACGATAGTTCGGCAGCACACAGCAGTGCTGATATTATGCAGAAAACTCGTGCACCGATACGCTTTTAGCGAATCCTATAATGCTGGCATATTAAAATCCATTCGCTATACCCCGTGCGTGTTGGCTGGAATCGGATGCTACTAACCTAAATGCCGCGTTTCTTAGCAGTTCTAACGATTTGAATCGAGGAATACCAACAGACGATTGGGCAGAGGAAAAGTGTCGGAAAATTTCATCGAGCCAATCCCGCGAAAATTCGAAAAAATACATTTTGAAATTCGCTGCCTCACGAAAATGAAACGTCAACCCTTTTTTTTTTCGCTAATAATGAACTTACGACACGGAAACTTATGACAATAAAAGTTGATTGATTGATATGTGGGGTTTAACGTCCCAAAACCACCATATGATTACGAGAGACGCCGTAGTGGAGGGCTCCGGAAATTTCGACCACCTGGGGTTCTTTAACGTGCACCCAAATCTGAGCACACGGGCCTACAACATTTCCGCCTCCATCGGAAATGCAGCCGCCGCAACAATAAAAGTTCTCAGAGTGCAGTTTTATCAATCTAATAAAAGAACTCGTTGTTTCTCTTTATATAGTGTCGATTTAAGGCTGTATTTTCATTCAGTCGAATAGAGCCTTACTTTGCGGAGCTACATCATATGTGGGAAGGAAGGGGGGGGGGGAGGTAGAAGTGCACAAGCGAAACGTTGGCGATTCAGCTCGGCGCATTGTTCGGGACCCTCCATGCAAGGCCATGGCGCACCAGGAGTCGTAAAAGCGTTGACCGCGATTATGTGGGTCAGTGGCACCGGACCGTCGCCGATTTTTTTTCGAGCAGCGCTTTTACAGGGGCCTCGCCTGGGGGCGTTAGCCTGCCGCGACCTTTTCTGAACAAAAACACGTTACTCATACTGTAAAGCGATTGTGTTTATGGCGCCGAAAATATAAAGATAAAATTGTCTGGCACTGTCAGGGATGGCTAATGAAGACAGGGACCCCAACGGCGTGTCCTTTGTGGTTCTTTTTTTCCCCTTTATTTCTTCGTTCTCTTTATAGCGAATGCGGTTACGTGTGACGAGGTACCTCACGGATGACGTAGCGCAAATCTAAAGCGCTAAAGAGAGGAGAATGGAATTAACCGTCATTAAGAAAATACAGCAACAATAAGGGTGTGTGTGTAAGGAGGAGGGAGGGTCTCTGCAGCCTCGTTAGTCTGCAAGGGCGGCGATATGCAAATTGTGGTGCGCGGAATATATACAGCCGCTGTTTCTCGCCTTTTTTTATGCCGGCAATAAAGTCATCATCAGTCCCGAGTTTCCGCTTTCATTTTACTTTTTCTTCGTAGAAAGGCTGATTGCGATTTTCAGAGGGGTCGTTTGGAAAGTTATCCCCGAAACCAATTATCTCGTTTACTCCGCAGTAAGGCATAACCAAGTGCGTCGAACGGACAATTACACCAGGGAAATCATGCATGGCTGTTGTTCTTAGCAGTAACGTGATAATTATGGCGTAGTTTTAAAGGTAATTAAAGTGGACGAAATATCGCCCTGTCCGTCGGTGGGTGTACCATCCTTTTGGTTGTGTTATTAAACCAAATAATCGGTCTTGGGATATATCGGCAAACAAAATCTCGGAAATTCTGAAGCAGTTGTTCCCCAAGAAAGACTCAACTAGGACATTAAACAAGCGAGCCCCCCCCCCCCCCCCCAAAAAAAAAGTAAGAACATAGAAATTCATTTCCTTACTTCACAGTGACTGCAATAGCTGGAAAGTTCTGCTTCACTGTCAAGCACGCTACGTGTTAGGTGTGGCGTCTTCGTGAGCAATCTTTCGATGTGATGACGTCCGTACGACCGCGTTCTTATAGTATTTTCCACGTATTTTTTTTAATCGCATAAACGTATGCTACATGCCACTCTGCAGCACGAACAGAGATAGCGACAAGATCAGACGTCGAGCTGTAGCCGAAATCAAGTTCTGCCGTTCGATTCGCGAATATCTGGCCAAGAGCGCCATTCCGCAACTCTACGGGGTACTGCGAATCGTCAAATTAATTGTCGTTGACTGTCACGTCTGTTCGAGCGTCGTCGAGAACTAACTTCGCTTGCAGTGATACAAAAGTGGGCTTCAGAAAAGCAATTGTGCTCTGGTAGAATGGTTAAGAGTTGCTTGAATCTTTTGCCGAGCCTATGCGTTCAACTACTCGGCCTGTTGTCGCTTATACCGCTAGAGATAAGTGTACCGTGATAACTGATCTAAAATTTAAAAAAAGGAAAATAAATTGGACGTAAAGATCAAGGTTGTGACGGAACTCGTGGCGGGTGCTGCTTATCAATCAAGTGACAGGCGTCCAAAGTACAAAACCGTTCTACTCGGTATGCGTGCTGGCATCCATTCGGATGCTGCGTTATCTCGCCGGCGCATTCGACGGGTGCTGGAATTTTGAAGTAGGCTTGAACATCGTGTCGCAACGCACGGGCTCTGCCCGTTACGTTTGAATTAACGGCGAAACAGTAGGGCCACTTTCGCCGTCCGCCCTCGTGCCGAGGTCGGCAGGCTACGCCGGTGTACTCGAGGAATTTCACCCTGAAGGCGTGTCTGCCGGCCAAGATTTGGCGTGAAACAGAACGTGCAACACTATAGCGTATCTACGCGTCGTTCGACTCGTGTTCGCGGCGGGAAAAATTCGGCTTTTCCGCGGAACGAGCACGTCCCTCACAGTTAGCGCCTGTTCTTCCGTCGCTTTATTTTGGAGTCCGTACGTGAAACGGAAAGCCCGGCGCTGATTCGCATCACAACGCAACATAACTCGACCCGTACGAAGCCACTGAGGCATCATACGGATGACAATGAGAGGCAGGTCTTCGAGATTTTTCGCTATTCTGCTTTCTTCTATCTGGAACACCTGAAACGCACGTGAGCGAACTTGCGAAAGCAGCGGCCGTAAAGTTATCCAAATAATTCGGTGCATTACTGAAGACATGTAGCAATGCTGCGCGATAAAACACGGATGGAACAAGACAAATACACAATACACACAGCGGCCGGCCGACTGCCCGTCTCTCGAACTGTCATTCGTCGTGGCACGCGTCGCTTATTCTCTTAGCACCACTAAGCCGCCGGAAGAATGCCTTTGAAGTTTAGTGTCCCAAAACCGGCACACGGGCGTCACGGCTCCCGCTTTTTTTCTTCACGGATTACGTCCGAAGCGGCGTGCTTCGAAAAGAACACAAAAAAACTGGCGGGAGACGGTACTTGGCGAGGACAGGCCACAGTCCAAGCGCGACTGGGGCGAGAGGAGAGCAAGCTAACAGCGGCTTACCTTCGGTTCGTGGTGGTCTGCGCTAGCCAGCGCGGACAGACAGGCAAAGGTGACCAGCATGACGGCCGCCAGGTATAGAGCGATCCGGGCCATGTTTCCGCGGAACAACCGTTGTCGTCGTTAACTTGTGACAAGACAAAACCAGCTTCCCGAAAGTGGGAGGAAAGACTCGAAAAATCCGCCGAGCCGATGGTTTGGTCTGTCGTCGTTATTGGGTGCCGGCAGCAACACACTCGTGCTCTAACTACCCTAGTGCACGCTCGGCTTTTTACCGACGGCCTAAGAGAAAGAAAACTCGTTCCTCGTCGAAGCACGAGAGGAGAGGTTGGTCGGCGGTGCTGGTTGCGACCGAACAGCAGCACGCTATGCGCGAGATGCGGGCGTCTGGCCTCTCTCTCGGAGCAAAACTTGTCCCGCGAGCGGGATTGGCCAAGAAATACGGAGGAGAGAGGAGAATGGATGATAAAGGGAGAGAGAAAAGGCGAGAGGATATATGTGACCGAAAGCTTGCCGGACCGAACACTGCGCAGTGCGGTGGTGGCGCCACACCGCCGCTGTATGAGACAACTCGGATCGGGTGCTGTGGCCTCAGAGACAGCCAACGCAGCCTCGAGCGTCCTTGATGCTTGACTATCTCTGAGGCCACAAAACAAGCCGCACATTATCATGCAGTGCGATGGTAGCGCCACATCGTGCCGTACGAGGCAATACGAGTCGATCGCAGTGGCCTCAAAGACTGCCAACGCAGCCTTGAGCGTCTTTGAGGCATGACTATCTCGGAGGCCATAATGCGGCGACGTAGCGATAATGTTAGCGCGCCATATTCAAATGTCCCAAACGCTGTTACTGGTGTTCGCTAGCACAACAGGTATGTCTAATGACTCCACTGCATCAACAAATGCTCTTGGGCGTACAGCTACACTTCAATTACATATCACTGCTGATTTCAGATTGCTCATCTTCATAATAACGCAGATTTCGTTTTGCAGCCTTTTTAAGCGCGAAGGAGTTGTCTTTTTAAAACATTCCTGTAGCAAACTTCTTTATTGGTTAGTTTCTTACGTTGCTTTTTAACTCTCTGCATTTTTTTCTTATCACTACGCAGGTTGCTTTTGGTGACCTGAATCCTTTCCCGATGAGAGTCATCAATGCCAAGAGAGTGCAGCACATGCAAGCTGTCAAGGTAAGTTGTGGGTGGTGCAAAGAATGAACAATGGAATATAAACCTGCCTTTCATAATGTCTTATCACATGTAGATAGTTTGCATATGAAAGACCCATCTAAGGGAAGACGATTGTGAGGATATATCCCGTAAAAAGATATGCACTGGCCAATATAGTGAGGTATAGCTGAAACGGCATAACATACTCGCTTGATCAAAAAAAAAAATATATTCTAAATCTGCAGAATATGAATTGTCACCGTCAAAGTTAATGCTTCTTAAATTAAAAAGAAATGTCGACGTAATACATGCATTAAATGGTCAGCATAATGCGCAATGGTTCTAGCCTTTTTACTGATAGCGGACGCTGGCATCGATCATTGTGAACAAATGTACGTTTTCCAAAACTTCCGTCCTGGGGCCATTCTGTTCAGTTTCACACTTTAGAACGCAGCTTGCTTAGCCACTTAGCAGGGGAACTGTGCAGGAAAGCTTACCTCTCAACAGTGAGACGAGTAGTACGTGGTTGTAGTGGCTAATCAATGGTAAGACGTCTGATGTAAAGAATTTAGATTCAATGGCTGAGTATCACTGTGCTCCAGAATTAGTATCACTCTCCACACGGCCTCATTTCACCAACTCGACTGTTGGTTGGACAAGCGCACTCACCTTTCTCGGAACCTTGAGCATGCTCATAATTCACATTAATTCACGTAATGATTTTCGTCATGTGGCACCCACATATCGGTAAAAGCATAATGAAGTTCAGTTAATTCTGACAAAGAGCATTGAATACGTGTTTATGAATGCTTAGTGAATAATACGTATAGCTGGGATGTAATACCCCTTATGTTAATAATATATGCAGCGAAAATTATGGACCAATGCAAATGCAATGTCGTGGCCACTGGAGCAGTGTATTATACTACGGCACTGTATGTCTGACATGGCGAGACTGAGAACAGAACACAGCAAATCTGGGTATGACTTGTCGAAAAATAAGCAATTGTCACTGAATATGTAACTGGTAATTAATCAGCAGCAGTTACCTGCCCTTTGCAACAACCTGCGCTATTCCTAAACAGATGCTATTGTTATATTATGTGCGAGAAGCCACAAGTGTTTATAAAAATGTCTCGCCTAGTCGAATGAAGTGGGTATTTGACAAATTGGAATGATGAATGTTGAAATTGAATAGGAATTCAATAATACACGCTATTCAAATCACTCTCACAACAGTTGAATACAAAGCATTCGTAGATGTTTTAAGTATTGGGAGCAAAAAGAATGAAATATCAAATTACATATATATTACCTATGTTGCCTCTGCGTTTCACCATGTGTTTATGGTAACACTTTTGCTAACATGTTAGGTATTTCACTATTTACTTACGTGACGATGTGTGAAGATATATTTGTCGCTGGACCAAACACTGTTGTCATGATACGCGAGCGATCCAAATGTTATGCAGTCTTCCATGACATGTCAATAACTACAGTGCTTGTAACTATGAGGTGATGTGAAATGACAGACACATGATAACGAAGAGGTACTTTATCGGTTTAAAATGAAAGCGGAAGAGGAAAATTTGCAAACGCTTAGTCATCGCCTTTTATAGTTGAATATGATAGCGATATCATTATGCCTGCACCCCCCCCCCCCCCCCCTGCGCACAGACACACATGCATGCACACTATTGCGTTACTTCAGCTCTTAGCCTCATTTACATCAATGCTGCTTTTTCGCTCGCAACCAAAGAATACAACACTTTCTCTGGAATTTCTGTGAATTCAGCTCTTTGACACTATCGTCATTCGTTCTCTCTTTTTCTCTATTTCTTTCTCTCTTTCTGTACTCGTTCTCCCGCCCACACTAGTTGCTGCAATTCATGCTGAAGAAATGGATGCAGCGGGAGAGCGCCCCTGGTGCACATGTTTGGTTAACGGAGCAGGAAATGAAGAGGATGATGAGAACATGCGCCAACAAAGTAGTTGTGTTGCACGCACTAGAAATAGTAATAATAACATCTGGGGTTTTACGTCCCCAGACTATGACATATGAGAGATGTCGTAGTGGAGGGCTCGGGAAATTTTTTACCATCTGGTGTTTTTTAACACGCACTGACATCCCACAGTTGTACACGGGCCTCTGGCATTCCACCTCCATTGAAGTGTGACTGCCGCAGCCGGAATCGAACCCACGACCTCCGGGTCAGCAACCGAGCCCCGCTCCATCACGGCGGATGCACGCGCTAAAAAGGCAGAGGCCATTCACGATGGTCATAGCATTTGTGAATGCATCCTGGCGTAACAAAAAGCATAGTATTACACTTTCTTTTTGGATGATAGAGACTAGAGCGAGTCAGGGGCAGTTAGTTAGCAGTTAGCAGAGTCAGTTAGCAATGCAGACATGGATGTGAAAGATGGGGAAACAGGCAATTCATGTGCGATCTATCGACTGAAATCGTGTGCAGCTTGGTGAATGATAAAAAACGAGCTGACATGAATTTCATGAAGCTTACCACTGAGTTTACAGAATTCTATACAGGTATGTATCGTGTGAGGTTACTTTCAGCTGTGGTTGCTCTACGTAGGACACACAGGTCTTTGTACACACCGTTGATTGCTTCAGCGTAAAAAGTCGTCCACTAAAGGATCAGTGTCCGATAGTTTTGTTGCACTGCCATGATTGCGCATTCGAACCGAAATGTGATAAATGCAGTTTTTACGCAAACACACAATGAAGAAATATGTCTTGTAGTTGAGGCTTGGCATATCACTATCAGTGGAGTTGAGTGTGCAAGAAAGCCTTTGATCGCCTTGTGCAAGGGTAAAATGCCGTGCTTTTAGCAGCTATCATCTGTGCAGACTCGCACGTCCCAGACTGATGAACAGTGTTCAATTCCTGAATATGTGTATAAGTCTTACGTCATTCTTTCTGTCACAGTGTGGCATTTCAGTAATTTGATAGCTCATGTTCGTGTAGTTGATTTTTCTTCTCCCTATATATGAAGCTAGACTTTTCTCTCCATTGCAGGAGCAGCTACGGAAGCTAGATGAAATACGCAACTCATTGCCAACAAGGAAGGTGCAGGAGTGTGGCAGTCCGGAGTTGTCTGACGATCCGTCAAAGTAGACCGACTGCCGGCAAACTGCCCCTCCGTTTGCTTGGCATCGCGAAAGTCCCGAGTGCCATCGATTGTCATCTGCCGTAGTCAACTACAGTGCAATGCCTTACGTTACCCACAACTGAGACCAAGACAACTTGCTGTCGTCGATTGTGATAACAAACGCCATTTTCTTTGAAGCCACTCATTCACTCTGTTATACGACTGCACACCAAGTGCTGTTGTTTAATGGTAACCCTATTTGAAAGCACCGAGGTGGCTTTTCCAGAATGTGCCTCGTTGCCGTATTGGCAGAAGCTGTGCAGCATTGTGATAGGCTGCGGTCAGTGTTAGCTCATGAGAGGCAGAGCTATGCGTTATTGAACATTTCCAGTGGAGTAGAGGATGAAATCGTTTTAAAATCAAGATTTAATCGCTAGTGAGTATTTGAGATTGAACAATTTGGTATATTTATGTATACATCAACAAGGATACAGTGGGCGAGAAAGAAACCTGATGAATGTTCCTTACATGTATTTGTTTTATCAGTATGTAATTAGGGTATACATACTCAGGTGCTTTGAAAATTAAATTAAATACTGGTAATTTGATCAAGAAAATGGTAAAATAAGAAAATGAATGTTTCCTAAGCTGAGCTAGGTTATGAGGGTGTACATTGTCATTAATGTAATACATGAACAGCAAAAGAATTGCTATTATTACATAAACCTTTTATGTGAAACTCTTCTATATAGCCACCAGTTGCCTTATCTTGGTGTTAGTAATGATCTTGCCCTGTTACTCGGCAACAATACACAAGTCAGATTTTCCAAAAAACCTGAATTAAGAAGAATGAAATGCTTGATTTGTATTCGGAATGTATAATTTTCCAATGCCCCTTTTTGGCAACAAGGACCCATACTAAAAGTGTGAAGACCTGTGATTGCCTGGCGTCATAGCAACCGCTATTGCCCAGGCACGTAGGGGCTAACCAGTCGCAATGCATTTATTGTTTTGATCAGTTTCAGCTCTGCCCCTGATTGGCTGAAAATTGCTAGCTTCCACAATGCTGTGCGATTTTGCACATTTTTACTATGTGCAGTGCGTCTTTTTGCATGCAGCATGTATCTTACTCAAGATTACTTGGTGTGCCCATTTGAACAAGCCTGCCCAACACTTACCGAGGCACCGTTTAAGTGATAAGAACTTTGAATGTGTGTTGGGCAACCGGCCATTCTATTAACTGTACTATATTTTTCTTTCAGACGCCTATTGCACATTTTACATTTTTGTACACTCAATACAAGGCTACCACTTAAATACTGCTGTGAGTAGTGAGCCCAGACACATGACAGCATTTGCACACAATTCGAATGTGGTCAAAGCTTATCCTGACCTTCGAAAATGGTGCCGTCTTAATTTTTATAGATTTCTAACGTACACACCAGCAAGTCATAGATGATGCTGGAAGCAGAAACACACAACATGTTTCAAATCTGAGCGGCGAGTAGAGTCAGTGCACTTGTGGAATTTTCATAGAAGCAATATATCCTAAGGAGTTGTGTACCGTGAACAAGCACCGTTTTTTTTTTTAGTAAGCGACACCAACATTTTATTAACAAAGCACATGATTTAGTGAATGCAAGCGATTGCTCGCACTTTCTTTTTGCTTGAACAAAACTTTAACATATTTTGTAATTCACCTTGATGGTGTGAGCCATGTCTTAAGACTTATACTGAACTTCTCTGCTGTGGATGCCGGGATGCCGAGTCTTGGCCTGTGATATCTTGACGTAGTATTCCAGATGTGTCAATCTTAACTTTTCCTTATTCTTTGATGTTGAGATGAACGGGACAAATTCGTCATTTGTAATGCTACCTTCATGCACTGAACTCAAAAGTGCACGCATTTTATGCTCAGTGACAACTAACGCACTTATAAAGTGCCTTGGGCAATGACGAAGTGTAGTACGCATGGAAGTTTGCTGTTGTGTTATACTTACATTTCTTAATTTTTTTTTTGCGTGCAGTCACTTAATTGTGTACGGCATTCCATGTAAGAGTTGTGACGTTTCATACAAAAGAAGGCTTTGACATATATGTATCAACCCTCCTTCAAAGCTTTATTATATACTTAGCCCACATATTGGATTAACCTATTTAAGCTGCAATGATTACAATCTACCAAATGTGACTGCTTTAAAAGCATGCAATACCTGTGTAGTCCACAAAAGTGCTGTGTAATATTTTTGTAACATAATGTAACATTGTTGGGTTTTAGCAGCGCGAAAAATGCACGAAAGACAAGAAAGGGACGAGACAAGCACTGACTTCCAACTAAAATTTTATTGACGGGAAGACCGTTAATATGCAATGGAGCACAAAGAGTGAAAAAATGACGTATTTTAAGATACAAATTATCAACTAACGCCATGCCTGCTGCGCCTACCCTCGCACCTCAAGAAACATATCTCTTTATCTGATAGGGCAACTGAAGGCTTGCTTTTAGTTGGAAGTCAGTGCTTGTCTCGTCCCTTTCTTGTCTTTCGTGCATTTTTCGCGCTGCTAAAACCCAAGTATGCCATACCAACTAGCCCAGTCAACCGCTCTATTATAATGTAACAGACCATATGCTGGATTTTTATATTTCGCACGTGCTTTTGTGCTCACAGATGGCCTTTGTGAGCTTTTTGAAATGTACAACATTTCAAGAACAATAAACATGGATTTATATACCTGACAACTGATCAAGTGGATCTGTCATGAGTCTTTGCAAGAGGATTTACTTGAAAGCTATACATATGTGATGACTGAGTTGGTCATTGCATGGGTCAGCATGCTAAATGAGCTAACTAATAATCGAACATGATGGAAACTTCAATTGCCTTAATGAACAAGTTTTGTTTCGCGGTGTGGGCAATATTATGCCCTGTTACGACCGCCATCGGTAGGCGCCATGCTGTCGCTGAGAAGCGTAGCCGGGCCGCGTTCCCACGCCTGGAACCCAGGTTTTCTTGGAACCAGCGTCGAGATCTGACGGGGGAGCGGCGCTCTTTTGACCCTCAAACAAGTAGCCGACTCGCCGAATGCTTATGCCCGCCAGGTATTGTCACTGTTAGCCGGCGGATGAGACGTCACGTCGCCACGAAGCGGTAAGCCGTTCCAGAGGGGACAACAAAGACAGCGTCTTCCTTTGTAGAAACGGCGACCGCCGCCACAAAATGCCCTGCTAATTGAGCAGAGAGGTTGGCGGACCGTTTGATCTCTGCTGTCCGAAGCTTGGGATCCCTCGACCAGTGACACACACGACGAGCAAGAGCCCCTCTGGCGCCACCTTTAAGTGCAGTGATCTTGACTCGAAATTGGCTGTTCACGTGCGCCGTGCCTGCTCGTACCCCTCACCTGTTGTGTGTATGTGATTGGTGTTCGACTGAAGAAGGAGGAGCCCGACAGGGCTTATAACGGCGCCGCAGAGTGCAGGACGTCGCTCTGGACCAAGTAAAGGTTCAACCACCACGTTCGTAGTTTGTGATGGCTCTGAACCAGGCAAAGGTTTAACCACCACGCTCGTGGTTTGTGAACTCTTAACCCCATGCTGTAAATATTTGTAAATAGTGCCATAAACCTTGTTTGTTTTTCGTATCCCCATCTTGTAAGCGGTCGTTTCCTCAACCCGAAGCTACACCACGCTACCACAGCACCCCGAGTTACAACGACTGGTTGGCAGCGGAGGGATTCGAAGCTACACCACGCTACCACAGCACCCCGGGATCACAACACTGGTGATCAGCGGGTGAAATCACGACAACTGGTGGCAGCGGTGGGATTCGAATCAGCACCCCGAGCCACAACAACTGGTTGGCAGCGGAGGGATTCGAAGCTACAAGTGACAACAACAGTCGGCCCAGGAGAAGCAGCTGGCTCGAGACATGGATCACGTATGGGTGAGTGCTTGGCTTTTCCTTTGAGTGAACCAGGTTCTAAAAGAGGGTTAAATTTTAGAACTGGTAGTTAACTTTGCCGAAAGACTCAGTTTCGCCGTTTCGGAAAGTTATTTTGGAAGTAGCGAGCACTCAGTACGATCATGGACTTACGGGAGCTGCAGAAGTCAGACTTGTTGCTGTTGTGTGAGGAGTTGGGGATCGATACAAAGGGTTTGGCACGAAAACCCATAATCATTCAAGCGATTAATGATTTGGGGGCTGATGATGAGGAACTAAGTGAAGAATGGGACCTCATCATCGAAAGAAAACTAAGAGCAGCTCAGATGGAAGGAAAGAGTGAAGACGAAAAACTACACCTCAAGCTAGAGTTTTTCAAACAAGACTATGAGTTGAGTATGAGGTTGGGACGCCAGCTAGGAGTACTTCTCGAAAAGGAGGCAGAGTTCGAGATGTCTAGGTACATGCAGCCATATGAGGTATCATGGGATATGGGCCTGTATCTCAGACTCTTTGAACGAAAGTGTAGTCAACTTAAGTGTGAGCGAGACACCTGGTCTCAGAGGCTACGCACGGTTCTGCCCTGCGAGGCAGCGGATGTTGTTGCGCGACTCAGTGAGCAGCACGCGAACAACTATGATGTTATTAAAGCAGAGCTAATCAGGAGATTTGTAAACTCTGTTAGCAAAAAGGAAGAAAGACTCAGGCCGAAGTCTGAAAGCGAGGCGCGTCGCAAAGCGCCAGAAGTTGAGGCGCCTCATAAAGCGCGACAGGAACAGATCACGCCAGAGAAGGGCCCGCGTATTCTCGAATGCATCCATGTAAATGATGTAGAGAACGAGGCCGTGGCCGGTCTGGAGGTGGGGACAGTGTCGACAGACGCTCCTTGCGTGGATGAAGAGGGTGCCAGCAGCCCTAATGGGCCCAGTAATGAGCTGAAAACCTTCTTCGTGCCTCAGGGGGACCTTTCGACATTGTCAAATGTAGGCATGGTTAGCGCAGTGGCTGATGAGAGCAAGAGCGCCACGCTTCAGCAGTGCAGCGATAATACCGCGCTGGTTTGCAAACATCGCAGAAAAAGGAAGAAGCGGAGGCATTCGTCACTGTGCAAGCCTAGGACAGGCCCCACTCAGTCACAAGAAAGACGAGAGGGTAGGCCACTAATACGTTTAAGGAAACGTCAATGGGGCTGTTCGTGGAAGCATAAGCGGCGAGCCAGGTGTGGAGGGAGAAAGGGAGGTGCGTCACCCCAACGAAGCGCGCGGTTCAGCTCGACGACTTCGGAAAAGCGGCCTTGCCCGAAGGATCAAAGTCGAAAGCGCAGAGGGGCTAAATACCGCGCAGGGGTGAATACAAAGAGAAAATGGCACAGGCTCCCTCCGAGCTACTGGCATCCCTTTCAAATTCCTGAGGAGAACAGGCCGAAGTGCAGAATGAGGCGTGACGGCCGAACACAGCCTAGCGGTTGCACGTTTTGTAGCCTCCGGCGTGCTCGAAATCCGCCGGGACCGCGACCCCATCGTGTGCGATTCAAGCGAATCTAATTGAGAAAAGGGGGCGGTCAGTTTGAGTAATTTTGGTGCGTGCGTGTTAATTGTGTCTACTCATATTGCATTGAAGATGCAGATTTGAGCCACTTTAAATTTGGTAAGTTTGATGCGGAGTAAATTTTTCAAAAAGAAAACCGCCGAACTAAAGGCTGAAAATTGAAGTCAGTTTAATCACAAGTGCGAAAATTTCCATAAGGTAAAAACCGAGAAATTATGTTATTTTTCTCGTTTTTTTTAAAAGGTTTAGTGTAATATTGTATGCCTTCACTGCCATTGGGATGTGGCGTGAACGAGCATTCGAGGAAGAAGTTAACATGGACCAAGTGATTTCATAAGTTGATTAAGTTTGGCGCGACACAGTGGAGTTGTCGTTGCACGCATTAAGAATTGAATGTCAGTGGGGCACGATTTTAGCATAAAACTTGTGCATTATTGTGAGGTGCATTTGATGAGTATCGCACCTAGGATTACTTTTGTGTTGTTCACTGTGCGTTACAACGTAACGTAAGAATAAGTCGTTAGACAAACTGCGAAGGAATAAGCGTTTGGTTGATAGCGCCGTGTATTTTGTAGTGCTTAAAAATGAGAGTAATTGAAGGCTCAGGAGAGCCCAGTGAGATTTACTCAGAGGCATTAGCAAAGGCAGTTTGCTTCAACCGGGCGAACATTCTAGAAAGAAGTGTTTGTCTCTGTTTTGTTGGTCTTCTTTGAAGACAATTGATCATTGATCATATGAGCGGATCATTTAAGCTTTCCCTAATCATTGAGGTAGCCCGTTAGGTCAAGGCTTAGGTTAAGCTTTCAGGAAAGCTAGATAGCTTACTGTATCAGTAGTAGACAATTATTGGTACACGTAAACAAAGACGGACGTTCGGACAATATCAGCGCTCACTGAATCCGAGTTCCTGACTGATGCTCTCAGCGGGACAGAACCGATGAAAGTAGTCAGCGATGAAAAAGAGCCTGCTGTTTTATATCAGGACGACAATGGTATCAAGCAAAGCTGCGCTTTGCTTGCACCAGAATTTGGGCTCTCGTGAGATAACGTACTGCGCTTCAGGAAATGAATGCGCTTGCCTTGTGTAGGCCATTCATAAGTTGCAGTGTTACCTCGGAGGTGCTAAATTTACAGTAGAAACAGACCATTGTCCCCTTACCTGGCTGAAAACTGCGACATCGAAGAACAGTCGCCTTTTGAGGTGGAGCTTGATTCTTCAGCAATATCATTTTGATATTAAGTATAAAAAAGGCAAATTGAATGGAAACGCGGACGCGCTCAGCCGCTCTTTCTAAACCATTCTGGAGTGCTCTTGGTGTAACAAAATTGATATTTTAGTTTTTTCGTGCATCGTATGCAAATTTTTAAGGTAGCACGTTTGATTTCTCAGCACAAGTGAATCCTGAGAGTTCTGAGTGTGAGCTTTTGTTAAAGCTAGTAATTAAAATTGGTTTGCTATCCCTCTTTTGGCTTGGTTTGTTCGAAGGGGGCCGAGTGCTTACTTGTACATGTGGTCGAGTATCAGAGATGCTGTCGAAGATTCGGCGATCACCCGGACCATGCCACAAGCGAAGGCCAGTTCTTGGCATTCAACTACTGACCCTTTCGTCGTCCCTGCGAGCAGCAGTGTTGACCGCTGCCCTCCGTGACTCATCTGGCGAGGGGGAAGCTGTTACGACCGCCATCGGTAGGCGCCATGCTGTCGCTGAGAAGCGTAGCCGGGCCGCGTTCCCACGCCTGGAACCCAGGTTTTCTTGGAACCAGCGTCGAGATCTGACGGGGGAGCGGCGCTCTTTTGACCCTCAAACAAGTAGCCGACTCGCCGAATGCTTATGCCCGCCAGGTATTGTCACTGTTAGCCGGCGGATGAGACGTCACGTCGCCACGAAGCGGTAAGCCGTTCCAGAGGGGACAACAAAGACAGCGTCTTCCTTTGTAGAAACGGCGACCGCCGCCACAAAATGCCCTGCTAATTGAGCAGAGAGGTTGGCGGACCGTTTGATCTCTGCTGTCCGAAGCTTGGGATCCCTCGACCAGTGACACACACGACGAGCAAGAGCCCCTCTGGCGCCACCTTTAAGTGCAGTGATCTTGACTCGAAATTGGCTGTTCACGTGCGCCGTGCCTGCTCGTACCCCTCACCTGTTGTGTGTATGTGATTGGTGTTCGACTGAAGAAGGAGGAGCCCGACAGGGCTTATAACGGCGCCGCAGAGTGCAGGACGTCGCTCTGGACCAAGTAAAGGTTCAACCACCACGTTCGTAGTTTGTGATGGCTCTGAACCAGGCAAAGGTTTAACCACCACGCTCGTGGTTTGTGAACTCTTAACCCCATGCTGTAAATATTTGTAAATAGTGCCATAAACCTTGTTTGTTTTTCGTATCCCCATCTTGTAAGCGGTCGTTTCCTCAACCCGAAGCTACACCACGCTACCACAGCACCCCGAGTTACAACAGCCCACACCACAGCTGATTTCATGTTGTGCGTCTCCATAGTAATGCAGATGTCAGATACAGTCTATCGAGGCTCATGCAAATGTCATAAACAGGGCATGTACGTGTGACTCCCGAAATTGCCTACAGGGAGGACAAACATACTACATGATGGAACGCCTATGAAATGCCGCCGCAGTTTTTTTACATATAATACAGGTTATTTATTAGGCATGACTTGTTCATAAAAAAAAAAAATCAGCTTACTGAGCTTATATCTAGATGTGCTTTTAATTAATCGTAGGTTTTGTGCCCTGCATATTGTCAGATATTTAGAAAAGAAACTTGTCTACATTAGGTCCATTAACTTGCCCATGAATGCAGTGCATCAAGGAAGATAGCATAGGCAAATTCATAAATCTCAAAATACAGGTGCAAAATAGTGCCTAAATAAACAGAATTCGGCGTAAGAAAGTGAACCTAAAAATGACAACCAGAATCAGCAAATGAATAATGGAAGCAAGTAACAGGGTTCGTGCCACAAATTTTCAACACTATAAGCATGTAGTTTGAAGATGAAGCACTGTATTTATTATCAAATGTAGCACCACGAAATGTCCACACCGATCACGTGTTGGCACTGCCAGTCAACACCTATTCACAGTCATCTTTCATCTCAATAGACTCTTGACCAGAACTTTCAACATAAGGATCTTCTATCCTCCTGAACACAGCCAAAAACTTTTCTCCAGAGTTCCTCGTCACTTTCTTGCCTTCTTCGGTGCTCTCGTAAAGTTTCTCAACGACAACATCTGTTTTCTGCAAAAAATTTGCGTAAGTGCAACATGGCTCTTCAGCAAGCCAATGGCAATAGGAGATGACGTAGAATTTGCATCATTAAGAAAGCAAAGAAAACGACAGTAAATAATTGGAACTGTAGTTGAAGAGGCTGTGAAACAAGCACAGAGCTCCAAAATACCTTCTTTGGGTATTGATACTTTGGTGTATTTGTACTACAACATAACACACACAAATTGAGCAGCGCACAAATATACCTGAAACCTAACTTAAGGTAAAAAGGAATTCCCACAGACTGTTGAGACATAGCCTTGAAACCAATGCTCCAGCCTGTGGTAGTTTTCAATATAGGTATGCAGTGATCCACTCAATTTTAAGCATACCTGTCACAGTTCTTTATATTATATAAGCAGCAGCGAGTAATATCATTCACATGATAATTTAATGCACCATATCAACCAGTCAATTACTAACAAGAACAGAACATCTGTTTTCTTAATGCGTTCACAATGTACGTAGTCATATATTCACTGAGCATGTGTCAATGACCGAGGCATCTGGCATTATGGACACTAATATTGATTAAGTGCTACCACTCTCCTCAAGCCGTCCCTGCCCTTGTGAGTTTCTTCAGCAAGCGTGAAGACTATGTTCTGCCCTCTGCAGCCATCCACTGGCGTGAGGGTCATTTTGAAGGCCATGCACGTCGTTGTGTTTGTGTGATTGATGACAGCACCACGGTGACCACCAAATGCTGCAGCATAACCGGCCGCTCTTGCTTTGTCTTTCGGTAAATTGGTACTCCACAAATTCTAAGGACAGGGGACAGGCAAGCAGCCTCTTGAGGGGCAGGGCCGAGTTGCGTGAAGACAACATGGTCGGAGCAGCGCGGCCGATTGTGCGGTTTAGGGGGAAGTGCTTTGCAGGCAAAGAGAAAAATTCGGCTAATTGACAGTAATGTGCAAAACTGATGTTGAATTCCAATGGCGGAGTCGGTGCAGCCGACCGACTTCGCGAGCGAGCACTCGACTCTGGCGTAGAGCAAATCCTCCAAATCCGCCATCGGAACACAACCCGCCCTGCTGGAGCAAGGCGGAAGCTGCCGCGGCCGCGTTACCCAGGATACCTTGCGCGTGGTCTCTTCCGCTGTCTGTTTCCCACGTGGTTTACCAGCATCGCCTCATCGTTCGTTTGCTTGTTCAGCGCTATTCACCTGTGTGGAATGGATATCACGCCAAGCGTGCAACAGCTATTGTCCACGATGTCTGCTGTCGCTATCGAGTAGCAGGAGCATTGCCGCACGCTTTGCCGAGGTAGCCGAGCCATCCATGCCGTCCGCCATTATCAACACAACTCGCGCCGTGCCAGCCGTGCCCCCAAGCAGGCAAACGTGTTAAAAGAAATGCGTCACGCTGAGTTCCGGCCCACTCCACCGATTTCGGCGGAGCAGTTTTTCCTGCTCCACGGAGGGACTCCCGCTCTGAATCCCCTCCGGCTCTCTCATTGGAACTTTTGACTCTCGCTTTCACTCTGTCATTGGAACACACTTGCTCTGAAAGGAGCAGAAAAACTTGCTCTGACTCCACCATTGGAATTCAACATGAAATAGAAATGATGTTCAAACTGAGCACGCACGTCACAAGATTGCAATTTACAAACGAAGGTCACAAGCGAAAATCGCCAACTCTTTCAATGCAACTTTTGGTGCTGATAATTATTTGCCAACGTGCAAATAGATTGCTCCCTGAGAGACACGGAAAATCACAGTGTTTATTGGTTAGTCAAAAACGCAAGCTTTATTTGCTGTTAAGCTGTTGGGGGCTAGTTCTCCAACAACCTTAGCCACAAAAAAGCGGTGCATCACAACAAAACTAAAGCTAATTCACCATCACTCTCACTAAGGTACAACGAGGAGAGTCACCCATTGTGTTGGGTTGGGGGATGAGTAACCTTTGAAGTAAACACGGAGATTTTAGGATAAACGTCCTTTCTTGGCCTAGTGTTTCGACAAACCTTTTATTCCCCTTCATTTGAACCTTCTTAAAATAAGAAATAGATTATCCAGCAAAGTGCGAGAAAGGGGGATGATACCAACTAGAAGCAATTTTTTTTTTTGTTCCTGTCTGGTCCCATTCAGTCGAAACTGCCATGTCGACTTTCACGTGGGATGCGATTGAGGTGAATGGGGAGTTCTTACGTCATGCTAGGGGCCAGATGATACTGTCAAGCAGGCTGCACGTGGCCCATTGGCCGCAGGCTGCCAAACCCTGCTAAGTTTGGTTGCCAACCCTGCTAGCAAAATAAATTAGGGTCTTATCATGGCCTGGGCAAAGTGGCATGTCGAACTGCCTACTCATTGAATATGGTAGCACTTTGAGCAAAGTGACCGTGTTCAACAGTATACCATGAAGTGAAGTTAAATGCAGACACATTCATTATGCAGGAAGTCGACTTCATCGAAACCTCAATGCATCTCATGCCGTCTTAGCCACTACATGACACTGCAGCAAGAACAAGCGGTGCGCACAATTGCGTACAAAGCGTCCGAAAGAGATAAGGTCGAAGGGTGACTTGAAGACATGAATAACATTATGCTCAGCATTAACAGCTATAAGTCTTATACGCTCTAAGGAAAGACAGCTTAACGAGGGTGTCTTTCTGTCCCACGACAACAATCATCGTCTGGCTAGCTTGCAAGCCCTTCCTTAAAAACTCATCACTCGCCACTTTCCTATCAATAATGCTATGTCACGGTGACAGCCCACAGGCCGCTTTTGACCTTTAAATAGCGGCGCATGGCAAAAATACGAGAAAAGGCGCTGAACAAAGATGATGATTACTGTTGTCAGACGAAAATTCAACCTTTCTGCACGCTCCTTTTGCGTGCAGAAAAATTCAGCCACACGCCTGAATGTGTCATACGAACAGTTGCTACTTCATTTGGAAAATGAGGGATGCCATGCAATGCCCTGTAATGCGGGCCCCACAAGAAGGGGTGGAAAACTCTTGCTTTGCAGTTTCAAGAAAAGTGCAGCTGGCGCTTCAAGGTTCATCGGCAACGTTTCCCATGGGGAAAATTGTTAGGAATTTTTAAGAAGCTACATATATCACGGACAATCGCTCGTAGGTCGGCGAACTCGCTCATGAGTTGACTCAATCAGACTCAGATGGAGCCGTAAGTATGAAAGTGTCCGGGTGAGTAATATTTTGACGAGTTGGAGTCCGGATGTGTCTGGTTGAAGGAATATGTGTGAGCGAGTCTTAATGAGCCCGGCTTGGGAAACTTTTGGCGAGTCTGAGTGCATCCGAAGCGTGAGATACATTTCTTGAGGGAGTCTGAGCGAGTTCTACAATTTATGGGCCGCCCTATGCTCAAAGTAGAAGTTTTGTGAAATAGGGTTAACATTTCAGCATTCATAAGCATTTTTCATGAGAGAAAAATTTTATTTCAGGCCTTTTTTTTTTTGGGGGGGGAGGGGGGCAGGGGAGGACTGGCAACTGGTATTAGTAATCACAGACAAAAGAAATATGTATCACTGCTCACCAAATCCTCCTCAGACACTCGTTCAAAGAGTGGATGCTCGGCCAAGTGAGAAACCATCCAGTCGTGGAGCTTCTTGACATCTGTAATTGTGTACAGGAGGCCCTAAAAAGAAGTAGGCAAGCAATGGTTAAGCAAGCAACTTTTGAACAAGTTTGCCCGTATTTTAGTAATGCACTGTGCACGTGCACTGTAATCACCCACAAGGAGTGAAACAATGACTATTTTTTAACAGGGGAGTTGCTTAGGGGCTAGCCATGTCCGTAGGAGGACTCTGATTGTCCCGTGAAGGCTGTGACTCCAATGGATAGTGTGGCCTTGTGGTGTGGTGAGAGTGAAGGCGTGTTAGGGAGAGAGGAACGGTGTGGCTTGCCTCTAGAGGTAAGAGAGAGGCTCACTCGGAGGGGGAAAACGTAACCAGTGTTACTGTGTGCTTGTGCAAATGGGAGAGGGCATAGATGCTACAACGCCTTGCCAAACTTCTCTGACAATAATATCTGGGATTTGACAATAGACTTTCAGAAAATGAAACTGCCACTTAAATTAAACAACTGCCTCTAATATGATTCGTTCTGAACTTGAATTCTGCACCCCTTTTTATTTCTCAGTAGGTGAAACTCCTGTTAAGCAAAACACATTCTGCTAGTCCTACCTCAGGAACCTACTATACATCCCAAAACTACAATACAATTGTGAGGGATGCAGTAGTAGTGCCGCTGTGGTAGCTCAGTGGTTAGAGCATCGAACGCGTTATTCAAAGGGATACAGTAGTGGAGGGCTCCACAAATTTCAACAATCTGGTGTTCTTTATCGTGCATTGACATCACAGAGTACATGGGCCCAGACCATTTTACTTTGACAAAAATGCGACTGCTGCAGCTGGAATCGAGCATATTACTTTCAGGTCAGCGGCTGAGTGCCACAACTACTGCTCCACTGCAGCAGATTGCCAAACTTTCCTATCAAGGCGGGCATGTCATGAACAGCAGCAGTGCTATCAACACTGCTTGTGTTTCAGTACAGCCATGATAGTCGCATGTGTTTTGGGCGAGCGGCTGGGTGGAATGAGCCACGGCCGTAGTGGCATGCCACTATACTGTTCCAGTGTGGCCAAGAATGAGCACATCATCACACGGGATACATACATCCGTGTGATGGTGACCTTTTCCTAGCGATTTTTTTTTTGTTGAAAACGATACAAAATTAAAAACTTTTTATTCACTTCTTTGATTTGATGCATCTTGAAACATCCGAGAAAATTGTTAAAAGGTGCTGTATGCACAAGATTCGCTTCAGATGCGCTGTATTCGCTTCACCACACTGCTCCACAGAAAGTGACCTAACCTTTCCAGTATTTGGTGTGGAAAATGTCTCCTTGAAATGTACAGGGACAAGTCAGTATGTGAATACAAACCTCGCGCACCCCATGGGAGTTTGCTAGCATCTAACGGCGTCCACTGCTGCTTAGCCGAGACATCCTCATCATCCAACTTTGATGATTTCGAGAGACAAAGCTGTGTTATGTACATTTGCTGCCACACTCACACAGCAACTGAAGTTCTTTGTTTCACAAAACTTCGGCAGACAACAGCATTTTCTTTTCAGAACGAAGCTGTTACTGGCATGCATGCACTGATCGTGCAGAGAGGGAGATGTGATTTTCTCACTTTGGTTACCAGAATCAAGTCATTCTTCATTAAAAAGTGCGCGGTTCAGTGCGTTTTAAAATATGTTATTGTACCATCTGTTGGAGCGAAGCAGAACACAGAAAAAAGAATTAAGGTAGCCTAACTATGGCACCCCCAAATGCTCTCCTCAGGATGGATGAGCACACCTCCACTTCAGTAAGTGCGGTAAATACCGTGTGGACGAGCTCAGCTCATTTTCAGTAGTAGAAGGGTTGACAGTGAAATTATGAGCCTCTGTACCTTTTTTCTCTTAATCTGTGGTTAGTGACTAGTTAATAGCGGCAATAAAACTCGTTTGCCCCATTGTGAGACGAATGTTTAATTACATGCCTGTCTGTTACGACCGAAGGCAGTTTCGATGCCGAAGAGCACTCAGAAGGGGTGTGTGGTTTTGACAGTATTTGGCCTACTCATGAACAGACACTATCAGGTGAGTGTGAATACCAATAACATCCTGGCCACCTACTGCCATGTCATCAGCATTGCTGCTTCGTCTGATGAGTGACTTTTGAAAGGGGAAAAGGAAGAAATAAGCGCAGTTCCGTTACTGCCTCTCTCTCAATGGATGGCACCTCCACAGTTCTGCACAGGAAATGGGGGTAAGGATTGATTAAAAAGAATAGGGAGGAATAAAAAACAGAAATATCAGCCGTCATGCAGACACTGCGAAATCAGGCCGTCGATGAAGTATATATAAACATCCTGGAAGAAATATACAAAGGATCAACTGCTACCATAGTGCTTCATAAAGAAAGCAACAGAATAACAATCAAGAAGGGTGTAAGGCAGGGGGACACAATCTTTCCAATGCCATTTACCGCGTGCTTACAGGAGGTTTTCAGAAGCCTAGAATGGGAACATAAGGATAAGAGTTAATGGAGAGTACCTTAGTAACCTGCGCTTCGCCGATGACATTGCATTGCTGAGTGATTCAGGGGGCGAATTGCAACTCATGATTACGGAGTTAAAAAAAGAGAGCAGAAAGGTGGGTCTTAAAATGAATCTGCAGAAAACGAAAGTAATGTACAACAACCTCGGAAAAGAGCAGCGCTTCAAGATAGGTAATAGTGCACTTCAAGTTGTTAAGACTATGTCTACTTAGGGCAGGTAATAACCGCAGAGCCGAACCACGAGATTGAAGTAACTAGAAGAATAAGAATGGGGTGGAGCACATTTGGCAAGCACTCTCAAATTATGACAGGTAGATTGCCACTATCCCTCAAGAGAAAGGTATATAACAGCTGTATCTTGCCGGTACTTAGCTACGGAGCAGAAACCTGGAGACTTACAAAGAGGGTTCAGCTTAAATTGAAGACGACGCAGCGAGCAATGGAAAGAAAAATGGTAGGTGTAACCTTAAGAGACAAGAAGAGAGCAGAGTGGATTAGGGAAAAAACGGGGGTTAAGGATATCATAGCTGAAATCAAGAAGAAGAAATGGACATGGGCCGGGCATGTAGCGCGTAGACAGGATAACCGCTGGTCGTTAAGGGTAACTGACTGGATTCCCAGAGAAGGCAAGCGGGTTAGGGGGAGACAGAAGGTTAGGTGGGAAGATGAGATTAAGAAGTTTGCGGGTATAAATTGGCAGCAGCAGGCACAGGACCGGGTTAACTGGCGGAACATGGGAGAGGCCTTTCTCCTGCAGTGGACGTAGTCAGTCTGATAATAATGAATGAATGATAATGATGATGAAAAAACAGACATAGGGATAGAGATGGGAGCCAGGACAGCCACATATGGAAGTAAGGAGAACATAGGAAAGATGGACACGGTGGCAAAGGTCCGAGGACGGGGCACCACTCAGCGAGAGCTCTTGTCGGCGCCAGAAGGTGGCGTAGGGAGAGCCAGCAAACAAGAGCTGCGCTGTGGTCGGAGATCGCGGGGGCACAACTGGTCGGCACGAAATCCAGCGGGCGAGCTCTGCTGTGTTGAGCGATGAGCGTGCTTGTTTCCATCAATTGACATAGTGTATCTAGAGCAGCGATTGATGTAGAAACCGGCAAAAGTGTAAAAATCAGTCAAAAAGACTCGATTCAGTGCGTGAATCTCACCGGCAGCTGCAAGTTGACTCTTGACAATGTTGTTCAACTGAGGAGAGAACTAGCGTGAGCCTTAAAGCGTGCTAAGTATTAATATGCAGTAATGTATATTATTACACATTATTAACCTTACTAAACATTATTATGCATTAATAAACAACAGTCATAAACATTATTAAACAGTAATATGCATGCTAAAACATTTTCACTTCGATACTTTGTAATGTAACAGGTTGAGAAGTGACAAAGTAGGCAATGAAATCACAACATTGGCCCTCCATAACTGTGTGTATGAGCAATATGTAAGTGGCATGATGTATGCTTTACAGAACCATACTTGGATCAGGCTGTGTTCTGACGGAATACCAATCCCATGCAAATAAAGCAATGCGCTGTAGTAGTTATGTACCTGTCTGCTATGCAATAAAAAGATTTGTGAACAGCTGTTGTGTGCTCAAGCCAATGTTTCGACAAGCAGACTAGTCTTTCTCTAGGCTAGCGCTAGCGTTTCTTTAGCGATAGCGTGTCTACACTTCATACCCTCTCCTTTATCCTAACAAAGGAGGGGAGAGGGCAAACTGTGAACACAGGACTGTGGGAGAGGGGGAAGCATCGTGACGAATTGTATGAGTGAAGCGGGAACAGGTCTTCCAGGAATGAAAAGAGGTGCAATCAAGGTCACCTCAATAGAAGCACCTCTCTTGTCTACTCCAAGTACATACACCAGAAGCAAAGAATGTGCAAAGTACAACACACCTGGACTCTGAGTACATAGGCGTATTCGGCAAGCAGCTGCCTGTTGATGATCCTCCACTTGTGTTTCTGCTTCTTGAAGTGGGGGTCAGGAAACAGGAAGAACATCTTTGTAAGCTAGAGGAGAAAGAGAACGCAGGTTACAGTTGAACCTTCATAAAGGACTATGTGGCATCGCATTTATTATTGACACCGCAATTTGTTGCTAGCGTACAATAGCAAAAGTGATGCAAGCGCTCCGCTCCTCTTTTCTGAGTTCGTATATAAGAAAGAAATAATGAAACCAGGCTGCTAGAGTAATGGCAAAAAGGTACTGGTATCGTGTTTTTACATTTACTGCTACTGATAATTACTAAGACTGACAGATCCCATCTAAATAGAGTAATAGAAATCACACCACAAGTTACACAGAAAAAAAAAAAGGTCAGAGTTTTGCTGCAAGGGCAAAGCAGATAATTGGATAGAAACTAATTGGAATGTCACGCGAAGAATGGCAAGCAGCTCAAAACTTGCAGCATGCTACTCAAGTACAAAGGATGCACAAAGAGAACATACACATGATGCGTGCAAACTAACAACTGTCATAGCTCGACACTTGCAGCACACTGCTCGAACGCAAACACACATATGGAATATGATGGCGATGGCTAAACCCGCCAAGAATAACTAATGATATAGCATGTTAAACATGTGTGACACAGAACAAAGAAAGGGACAAAAGGGAGCACTTACTTGCAACAAAATTTATTTATATGCTCACAAAATGGGAAAACACAGACAAGACAGGTTAGAAACACACAATTTCCATGCGCAATAATCAGGAAGGACACCTTTCTTTTGACAAAGACTGAGGCACGGCGTGCTGACACATTTCCACCCTAATGTGCAAATACTCTCTGCCTCAATAATCTCCCTTTTCATTTTATTTCTGTTTTTACCAACAATCACGGTATCATGAAAACGTGGCTTGCAGCCACACGTGCTGCAATGCAGTGCCAAAAAAACCATCGCGACCATTTCTGACTTTACAAGTTTGTTAACAGAGCTGGTCATTAATACAGCGGCCAGTTTGTCCTATGTAGTGCTTGCCGCATGAACCAGGTATCTGAGAGATTATATTTTCTGCGCACGTGACAAGCAGAGTTTCGTGCCTATGAGAATAACCTGGTTTTGCATCTGAAACAACTTTCATACACAAGTACGAGAGCTTTTTTGGGGCAGAAAAAAACACATTTACATCGGCCCGCTCTCCAACCATTTCAAGTTGTGCGAGATTCCACGTAGATAAAGAACTATGGCATGTGCGGTTTTCCATTGATGCAAAAATTCTGCATTATTCGTTGCTGCTGAGTGAACGAGCTTGTGATGGAAGCGAGCACCGCAGCGCCATCTAGTGAGCACTCCGGGTACTAGCGGGTGGCTACGACGACTCCTGCTTGTCGCTCTCGAGTTGGTGCCGTGTGAGCGAAGAAAACATCAGAATTCAATCAACCAAAGGAACAAGCAGGATTTTGAACAGGCTACTCAACAATCGACCACATTCATACTATCAATCAGGTAATAGAGAAATGCTCAGAATATAACCAACCACTATACATAGCCTTCATAGATTACGAGAAGGCGTTTGATTCAGTAGAAATATCAGCCGTTATGCAGACACTGCATAATCAGGGCGTCGATGAAGTATATATAAACATCCTGGAAGAAATCTACAGGGGATCAACTGCTACCATAGTGCTTCATAAAGAAAGCAACAGAATAACAATCAAGAAGGGTGTAAGGCAGGGGGACACAATCTTTCTAATGCTATTTACCGCGTGCTTACAGGAGGTTTTCAGAAGCCTAGAATGGGAACATAAGGATAAGAGTTAATGGAGAGTACATTAGTAACCTGCGCTTCGCCGATGACATTGCATTGCTGAGTGATTCAGGGGGCGAATTGCAACTCATGATTACGGAGTTAAAAAAAGAGAGCAGAAAGGTGGGTCTTAAAATGAATCTGCAGAAAACGAAAGTAATGTACAACAACCTCGGAAAAGAGCAGCGCTTCGAGATAGGTAATAGTGCACTTCAAGTTGTAAAAGACTATGTCTACTTAGGGCAGGTAATAACCGCAGAGCCGAACCACGAGATTGAAGTAACTAGAATAAGAATGGGGTGGAGCACATTTGGCAAGCACTCTCAAATTATGACAGGTAGATTGCCACTATCCCTCAAGAGAAAGGTATAAAGCAGCTGTATCTTGCCAGTACTTAGCTACGGAGCAGAAACCTGGAGACTTACAAAGAGGGTTCAGCTTAAATTGAGGTCGACGCAGCGAGCAATGGAAAGAAAAATGGTGGGTGTAACCTTAAGAGACAAGAAGAGAGCAGAGTGGATTAGGGAACAAACAGGGGTTAAGGATATCATAGCTGAAATCAAGAAGAAGAAATGGACATGGGCCGGGCATGTAGCGCGTAGACAGGATAACTGCTGGTCGTTAAGGGTAACTACCTGGATTCCCAGAGAGGGCAAGCGGGTTAGGGGGAGACAGAAGGTTAGGTGGACAGATGAGATTAGGAAGTTTGCGAAATAAATTGGCAGCAGCAATCACAGGACCGGGTTAACTGGCGGAACATGGGAGAGGCCTTTGTCCAGCAGTGGACGTAGTCAGGCTGATGATAATGAACGAACTGGTGATGAAAGCGAGCGCTGCAGCGCCATCTAGTGAACACTCCAAGTACTTGCTGGTTGCTACGACTCGCGCCTGCTGCTCTCGAGTTGCTGCCGCGTGAACGAGCTGGTGATGAAAGCGAGCGCCGCAGCGCCATCTAGAGGGCACTCCGAGTACTATAGGGTGGCTACGAGGAGTCGCGCCCGCTGCTCTCGAGTTGCTGCTGCGTGAAAGAGCTGGTGATGAAAGCGAGCGCCCGAGCGCCATTTAGTGAGCACTCTGAGTACTACAGGGTGGCTACGACGCTACGGGGGACAAGCCTCTTCTCTGAGGAGTTTTGCCCTTAAGACCAGTGGGTTACCAGTCAGCATCGGGAATAGAACCCTTTAGGATAGTCGCCACTTCTATAGTCTCCTCAGTTCTGTCCATGCTTGGAGACCTTGCTGTCTCCCACAATGAACACACACACTTCTCATGACAAAGGAAGTCCTACCTGTCCTTTCCTAAAGAAGTTTGGAAGGTGCTTCATGGCATTGGTGCGTATGCAGGCTACGTTTCCGTACTGTCCCGGGTGTTGCGCCCTCAAGGCCTTGATCCTGTCTTGCACATAGTCAGACACCTTCACTCTTATCTCCATGCCAACCATGTGTGTGTCGGGAAACATTGGTGAAAGGGCAACTGGAAACGCCGGAAACACACTGTTAGTTACAAAGCACGCATGTACGGCAATTGCATTTCGACAGAGGTGGAATGCTAGAGGCCTGTATTCTGTGCGACATCAGCGCACGTTAAAAAACATCGGATGATCGAAATCTCCGAAGCCCTCCTGTCGTGGTTAGGTTCGTCACATAGCAAGGCGTGTGACACGAGGAAGATGGAGACCGTGAGGAAAACAAAAGGGAGTTATATTGGACGAACTAAAAAAAAACTATTGCACTTACAGCACTATAGGTCGTACACGCACGCAGTTCACACACAAAAGAAAAGAGTAAACAGTCTCACAGTCTGTGCCGTAGCCCGGTGCCTTGAAGTGGGACCCGTTGCGTGCTCGGATGCTGTCGTCGCTTGGGTTACAGGTCAGCATACCACTGTCGAGGGCATCACCAGGTCTAGCAGTAGCCGCACACTGTCAGCGACGTCGGCTCGGTGGACGTGCTCAGCAGCTCCTGTCTTTCGAGGGCGCTCGTCGTACCGAAGATGTCCACAGGACCACTCACCCAAAACTCAAGCCTGGCCACGCCGACACGCCGTGCCCCGAGAACGTCAATGGCTCGAGGAGAGGAACCCGGCCTTTCGAACCTCGCGCGTAGTTGCGGGCTCGCCCTAGGCTCCCTTGTGTAGTCTTGCCGGCGTCCGAACAGCTTCGTTCTCCGCGAGCGTTTCCTGTTCTTTTTTCAATGGGCACGCTGCAATGCCCCTTTATTCTTCTCATCTTCCAGGTGATGTGGCACTGTCGTCTGCTATGCTCGCATTTTTTTAAGCTACTACATCACATCACCCCCCACTTAAGAAAGTTCTTCCGGTAGAAGAACTTGAGGGCACTGGGGACACGTTGGTTCGCAGTCGGAAGCACACACGTAAGCACCACTGCACAATATAGCAGTTCCGAGCCCCGCACACTCGGCACATTCGGTCACAGAAGTACACACCAGAAAAAAAAGAAACAAGTCACAGAACTAAAGCGTCATGATACTTGTATCGTGCTTTAAGGTTCACATCATAAGCTATGAATACCATTGAGCATCGATTCTTCATATAGACGTTGCTTAGGAGTTGGCAAACGGCTCATGTAATCTGCGCCTATGTTGTCTCTGCCTTTGATATACTCGACCGAAAAGTCGTACTCTATAAGAATGAGGCTCCACCGTAACATGCGGCTGTTCACATGCTTGGCCGACTTGATGTACACAAGCAGTTTGTGGTCACTCTGTAGAATGAATGTGCGTCCAAATAGGTAGATGTGAAATTTCTAAACCGCCCACGTAAGAGCCAGGGCCTCTCGCTCTACTGTAGCGTAAGCAGCTTCACGTGGTTGTGGTCTACGGCTTGCGTATGACACTGGATGCATTATTCCTTCATGACGCTGCATGAGTATGGCACCTACACTTCTCGATGATGCATCGGTGCGGAGTACAAGCGGTTTTGAAAAATCAGGTGCTTTTAGAATGGGTGGCGTAGATAGCAAAACCTTGAGTTCATCAAAAGACTTCTGTTCTCGTTCTCCCCAGAGGACTTTGTTTGGGGCCCTCTTCTTCGTCAATTCGGTCAGTGGGTAAGAAACTTCAGAGCAGTTGTGCACGAAATCTCTGTAATAACCTGTAAGGCCCAAGAACGAGCGTACTTCTTTTTTAGTTTGTGGACGCTTCGCAGCCTGTATTTTGTCGAGCGTTTCGACCTGCAATCGAATAACGCCTTGCCCAACGAGATGACCGAGAAATTTGACTGACTTTTGATCAATCTCACTCTTTGTTGGCCGAATGGTCAAACCAGCGTCGTGAACTCGCTTGAGAAAAGACTCAAGTATAGCAATATGTTCCGCCCAGGTTTCAGTAGCAGTGAGCACATCGTCAAAGTAGTAATAAACGTGCGGTATGTCTGCTACCACTTTCCTCAAGAGGCAGTTAAACACAGCTTGGGTGGTTTTAATGCTAAACGGCATGAATCTAAATTGATACAGTCCTGATTCTGTCGAAAAAGCAGTCATTGGTTTTGAGCCTTGTTCCATGGGAATCTGCCAGTAGCCTTTAGCGAAGTCAAACCTAGAAAAGTATTTTGCTTGCCCAAGTTTACCAAAGATGATGTCTACAAAGGGTATAGGCTCGTTATCATTGACTCTAATGTTGTTAAGCTGTCTGAAATCGATCCACAAATGCATCGTTCCGTCCTTCTTCTTCACAACTACTACAGGTGAATTGTAAGCAGACTCCGATGGTTCTATGATGCCTTGTCGCAGCATGTCTGCTATTTCTTTCTGTACCGTTTCTTGGGTAGCAAATGACATAGGGTATGGCAGTATGCTTACGGGTCTATCCGTGGTCAATCTTAGCTTGCACTGTACGAGGTGCGTTTTGCCAGGAACATCCGCAAATACGTTGTCGTACCTGGTAAATAAGTTGGTGACTTGCACGTGCTGGGTAGGGGAAAGTGACTCCGATATGCTTACGTCAGCAGACGATTCCTTTCGTTGGAAAGGTACGCATGGTAGCTCGTCACTTTCAGTGTAATCCGCCTGGAAAACAGCTGATGCTTCAGAAGGTGGTGCAGGCGGCCGTTCCTCATACTTTTTCAGTAGGTTTATATGAAATAGCGTGCTTCTGGTACCGAGGTCAATTAAATAGGCGACATTGTTTCTCTTTTCAAGGAAATTAAAGGGTCCCTTCCACGTCAGAACTAATTTGTTGGTATCCGATGAAAGCAGAAGCAGAACCTTGTCTCCAGGGGATAATTGACGTGGTCTGGCCTTTTGGTGATAATGCTTCTTTTGTACTATCTTCGCTTTCTGAAGCTCCTTCTTTGCTAGACGGCAGGTGTCTTCAAGACGATTCCGCAGATCGACTACGTACCCGTAGGATGTTTCTACATCATCATCAAGATGATCGGCGGCCCATATTTTTTTCGATATCACCAGGGGACCTCTGACGTAACGGCCGTAGAGCAAGTCGAACGGGGAGAAGCCTAAGCTCGACTGGGGAACTTCGCGATAAATGAAGAGTAAGGGCGCCAGGTACCGGTCCCATTTCTTCGGACACTCCTGACACATTTTTATCATGTGTTTCAGGGTGCCGTTGAACCTCTCTACAAGGCCATTAGCCATGGGATGATATGGGGTTGTTGGCAATTGCTTGAAGGAGAGAAGTCGGCTTAGCTCCTTCATTAGGCGTGACGAGAATGACGAGCCTCTGTCACTGATTATCTCTCGTGGGACACCTACACGAGAAAACATCTCCAGAAGTGCCTCAGCGACTTTCTCCGTCTCGATGCTCGGCAGTGCTACAGCATCAGGATAACGCGTTGCCATGTCCACCATTGTCAGTACGTACTTGTTTCCGCCCTCTGACATCGGTGATAATGGACCCACAATATCAATGGCTACTCTCTTGAAGGTGTCAATTATAGGAGTGTTGCCGAGAGGTACGCGACCCACCAAGTGCTTGGGAATAGTTCTTTTACATATATCACACGATTTAACAAATCGTGTGATGTCTGACTGAACCCCTGGCCAGTAGAACTCTTCGAGCACCCGGTCTATAGTTCGTTTAATTCCCTAATGGCCCAAAAGGATGCCTTCGTGGGCCATTTTCATAACAAATTGTCGGAGGCACCTTGGTACCACAAGCTGATTCACCTGCCTCTTAGAGTGAAGGGTGTACTTGCGATAGAGGATTCCGTCCTTCGTGGAACAATATTTTAGCAAACCTTGTCTTGACCTCTTTGTTAACGGCTTCGAAGCATTTCCGCAGGCTGCTGTCTTCCTCCTGTTTGGTTCTAAAGTCCTGTGGGCTGATGTCTAAGGGGTTAATAACTGGAGCCGGAAGTAGATGTGGATTTCCTGCCTGTCAGTTTACTGCAGCAACTTTTGTCTTGAAACATGTTTTCCTTGCCGCCGACATAGAAATCTTTGCATACAAGGATCCGTGTGCAGAACCGGATTTTTCTGCGCCAGAATACTCTTCTGCAGTGCTTCGGGTGTTAAGACGGCTCTTCCAATCGTTATCAGGATTGTGAACATCTCGAACGCCTTCCACATTTCCCAAGACAACATCATATAAAGGAGTATCCATACAAAGGGCTCAAGTTTTGCCAGTGAAGAAAGGTGAAAAAATTTCCACGTGTGCTTCAGGCAGCTTCGTCAACCGTTCGTCCAGGAGGTAAATTGAGGAAATCTTTCCAGTCAGCTTGCTATCCGCCACAAAAGACCTTTTGACAATGATTGAATCGCATCCGGTATCTCGCAGTACTGTTGCGGGATATCCTTTGAGTACACCTTCGCCCGTGGGCATCGATTTTTCCTTCAGCTTGGCTGGGTGCGTTTCTGCGCACTCCGGACTATAAGGAACACAAAGCGAAGCCTGGGACTCTCAATTAATTATCGTGGCTCCATCTCTTTGTTGAAAAGAGCATGAGGCCTTCTCAACACTGTTGGCCCTTTTGGAGCAGTCACCTGTTTCATGCCCAATGCGGCGGCATTTTCCACAAAAGGGTGGCTTTGTACCTGAACCCTTTGTGTTGGTCCAGCAATCAGCAGCTCTGTGACCCTTTTTGTTGCAAAAGAAACACTGCGGTCTCTCTTTGTCATCTTGCCGCTCAGACGTTCGAGTTTGATCTGGAGGCTTGCTCAGGATATCGCCTTTACATTTGCCAAGGTTAATCAACCCCTGGGCCTCCAAGTAGTGGTCTGTAGCCTCCGCAAGTTTTTCAAGGCTTTCACAGTTTCTTTTTTCAAGAAACACAGCAAGTTTCTCATGGCATTGTGCGAGATACTGCTCTGAGACAATTTTGTCTTGCAGAGCATCGTAGGTCCGGTCTGTCTTGGTCTTGCCAATGGTCAAAATAACCTAATAGACGCCCGGCAAACTGCATGCCCATTTCAGAATCATCTGGTTTGGCTGATCGAAATTTTGTCCGATAGCCTTCTTCTGTGAACCTAAAGCCTTGTAGTAGCGTTTTCTTCAACGTTACGTAGTCCGTGGCATGTTCTGGTGCCCTCCTACCAACTACACTCAAGGCCTCTCCGGTCAAGCAAAGGCTTAGTGATAGGGCCCATTTGTCTTGCGGCCAGTCTTGACTAGTAGCGACGCGCTCAAATCGCTGTATATATGCGTCCAGCTCATCGCGTTCCTCGTTAAAGGCTGGGATGAGTTTATGTGGACTTTGGTAGCTCTGCGTGGTGCCTACGGGCGCACCCTCGGTAAGCTGCCCAGTACTTATGCTACCTGCTGTCGCACCTAACTGATGCAACTTTAACTTCAGCTCAAGAACTTCCTTCTCTGCTTGTAATCTAGCGACTGCCTCTGCCTCGGCTTCTTTCGCGGCATTTCGTTCAGCCATACGAGCGTCACGTGCCTCTTTTTCGCGTGCGTGTTCTTGGTCCATCCATTCTTTTAGTGCTGACCCACTTAACCCCAATTCCTTTCCGATCGCCTTCAGATTATCTGCCTCCATCATCGACCATCACACACACATATGCGATGTGATGCTCTCCTTAGATGTAACAAGAGTAGTCCTGTCTCGCGGACGCCAGATATGTCGTGGTTAGGTTCGTCACATAGCAAGGCGTGTGACGCGAGGAAGATGGAGACCATGAGGAAAACAAAAGGGAGTTATATTGGAGGAACAAAAAAAAACTATTGCACATGCAGTACTATAAGTCTTACACGCACGCAGTTCACACACAAAAGAAAAGAGTAAACAGTCTCACAGTCTGTGCCGTAGCCTGGTGCCTTGAAGTGCGACCCGTTGCGTGCTCGGATGCTGTCGTTGCTTGGGTTCCAGGTCAGCATACCACTGTCGAGGGCATCACCAGGTCTAGCAGTAGCCACACACTGTCAGTGACGTCAGCTCGGTGGACGTGGTCAGCAGCTCCGGTCTTTCGAGGGCGCTCGCCGTACCGAAGATGTCCACAGGACCACTCACCCAGAACTCGCGCCTGGCCACACTGACACGCCGTGCCCCGAGGACGTCAATGGCTCGAGGACAGAAACCCGGCCTTTCGAACTTCGCGCGTAGTTGCGGGCTCGCCCTAGGCTCCCTTGTGTCGTCTTGCCGGCATCCGAACAGCTTCGTTCTTCGCGAGCGTCTCCTCTTCTTTTTTCAATGGGCGCGCTGCAATGCCCCTTCATTCTTCTCATCTTCCAGGTGATGTGGCGCTGTCGTCTGCTATGCTCGCATTTTTTTAAGCTACTACATCACACCTCCCATATGGCTCACCTCATAATAACACCATAGTTTGGGCACGTCAAAATTCAGGTGTTATTATGATGCACACGCTTAAGTTCGTTACAAGCCACACTGAGCTATTTCACACAACTATTTACTAAAACGGATCATGAAAAGGTACTGCGCTTATTTGTCAAAGCTTAAAAAAGCATCACTCTCAAGAATAAATAAACTAGACATGCCACAGTTGTCTAGTAGTGACTGAGGTGCTCAACTGCAGACCCACAGGTGACGCGATTGAATCTCGCTACATTTTCGATGGAGGTGATAATACTCAAGTACGTGTGCTTAGATTCAGGTGCATGCTATGAAACCCCAGAAAGTCGAAAATTTCAGAGCCCTCCACTGTAGCGTTTCTCATAATCATACGGTCGTTTTGGGATGTTAAGCCCAACTATAATAATAAATAAACTATTTTGCATCAAAAAGGATACATAATAATATATTGGCTTCTATATGGCATAAACGTGACATCATTACAAAGCACACCATAGTGAGGAATGCCTAGGTAATTTTGACCATCAGGAGTTATTTTAGCTGCAGAAGTTATAATACATGAGTGTTAATGCATTTCACTCTTACTGTAATGAGGCGGCCATAGCCCGTATTTGAACCTGCACGTAAAACCTAGCATAGCGGGGTGACAATGAAGAAATATTGGTAACATATTAAACAGAAGAAAGTTCAGATATCAAGACTGCAATCAATAGCATAACTGGTATCTACCTATGCGAATAACCAAAGTCAAACTAGATAGAGCACAAATGTAACACACAGTTTTGGATCTGAAAGCAGTGTTGGATTCATCACATTTTAGGCATTGCTTGGTCACTTTTCATCTGAGAATGTTAGGGCACACAGTAGAGTTAGACTGACACAAATCTAGCACACCGCTTGAAATTCAAAAACAACAGTGAATTCATCATATATAAAATAAAGTTTTTTTATTCCATTCCATTCATCATATATAAAGCATTGATAGGCCAATATTTATCAATGTATGCTTGAGTGCGTGGTTAACTTTCTCGAAAATTGGGGTGTTCTTGAAACGTGACAGGTTTGGCAAATGACCTTTCCATAATTCATGATATGTGGAGTTTACCACCCTAAAACCCCCATACGATTATGAGAGACGCCGTAGTGGAGGGCTCTGGAAATTTTGAATACCTAAGGTTCTTTGACGTGCACCCAAATCTGAGCACACGGGCCTGAAGAATTTTCGCCTCCATTGAAAATGCAGCCGCCCCAGCCGGCATTTGATCCAGCGACCTGCAGGTCAGCAGCCGAGTACCTTAGCCACTAGACCACCACGGTGGGGCAATCTTTCCATAATTGGTTCTGCAAACTTTTGCACAGAGGATTTATTCACTCACCAGCATTGTGCTATAGCAATCAGATGACATGCAAGCAGTGTTTTATACATGTGTTTCTTATCTCCCTCTATCTTCTTTCTATATTATTGTCTCTTGCCCAGCACACAATAGCAAATTGCATGATTATAATCCAGTTAATCTGACCACATTGCAATATCATTACCCTTTCTTAGAATGTATCAAAAGAAATGATTCATTTTAATGACAAATGCACACAAAAGCATTGATCCCCATTTCCTCTAGTGACCGAATTTTCCAAAACAGCCATCAGGTACCCCGCTTCGATCTTTAGGAAGCTCATTAGACTATCAACCAGAATGCTGATTACTGCCTTTTCATGGAGTACACTAGCAAAAGTAGCGATATCAGGTGTGAGCATGCAGGGCACCCCAGTATAGAGAGATAAGGAAATAGAAACAATACAATGCTTGCGCCATATTCCCCATTGATGTAACAAAGTCATGGAACACTGGGAAAGATAGCGTCAGAATAGAAGAAAAAAAAAAAAGAGACTAACCGAGAAGGCCCCCATACCCGCATCCAATGTCTGCAAACTCCACCGGCTTGTCTGGTTGAGGAAAGTACTTGCCCCAGTCCATGTCATCGGGGCACGGTGGACTGTGAGTGTAAAGAAAGGTTTAAATTCAGAGAGGGCCATAATCTTGATTACGACTGTCCAACCGTTTTAACTTGCTGTGTACACATTTGTGCATACAACTTGATCTTGCAATTGGTGTCGATTGGTGGGGTTTGGACGAAATGAACATCCAGCATAATAAGCATGCCTTCATTTGGCAAGGTAGTGTTCTATATGATAACATTGCTGAAAACACTACCTTGATTGATGCGTTACTCGATGTGTCGCTCTCTGCGAGCCACGTCAACAGCATCATTTTTATTTGCTTGAAGTGAACAGAAACCGAAAAAAAAATTTCACCAAGTCTATAGCCTTAGCTATGGCTCTATTTATACAAAAACAGGACAAAAACGACTTGAAGAAAACGTGTATTTAACTAAAATTCAATTCACTCTAATTACTATTGTGTCAGAAAAACTGGCTACCTTATATATGAAGTGTCTCCTTACAGGAAGGGTACCAGAATCTTGGAAGAATGCCAACATCATATTAATTCATAAGAAAGGAGACGTCAAGGACTTGAAAAACTACAGGTCGATACGCTCCGTCCTCTACAAACGATGTACAAAAATAATAGCGATAGAATTAAGGTGACATTAGAGTTCGATCAACCAAAGGATCAAGCAGTACTTCGTACAGCCTGCTACACAATAAACCATATTTACACTATGAATCAGGTAATAGAGAAATGCGTGGAATACAACCAACAACTATACATAGCCTTTATATATTAGAAGAAGCCGTTTGACACAGTCGAGGCATCAGCAGTAATGTTGGGATTTCAGTATCAGGGCATCGAAGACCCCTACATAAACATACTTGAAGAAATCTACAGTGGATCCACAGTTACCATCATTTTTTATAAAGAAAGCGACAGAATCCAGTTCAGCTAATCTACAATGAGAAATGGCAACTGTTGTTTAATTTTGCGAAAATGACAGACTGTTCAGTTTAATGTAGCATGTATACTTGCATTTGTTCGTCTGTCAGAACTTTAATAGTTCTTTTATTAGACTCTGTGGCAAGGTTTATTCACCAATAAATTCCTTAACTAACCGCATTCTTGCACGATTAAACTCGAGCGAGAACACGACTTCCTGCAAGGAAATTATCCCGTTGCTTTAAGACAAATTTCACACTACTTTGTGACACACTCCACTAGACAGTACACGCTTCTCTAGAGTCCAAAGTGTTTCTTATGAATAAGAAGCTTAGTCAGAGGTGATAAGATATTTTAGTGCCTTCCTTTAAGCTTATATATGCCACGTTCTTTCCATTGAAATTTCAGTTCTTAGACAGCACTTGTATTGTGTACATTCTTCTTTTTTTCGTCGTCTTTTTTTTTTGCGCTGATCATCATGAGTATGTTCCAAGTAGCCCGATTCACTACATTACATCAAGATAACAAGTGGTATCACTAATAATAAGCAGCCAATATTTTCAAAGAAGCCAAGCCACCGTACTCGAAAGATACAGTTTAGGTGAGTCACATAGAAATGTCGAATCTCGAAAATACTTCAGTTATTTGTTTGGCTGAAACTTTATAAACATTGTCCTGCAGGGTTTTTGGCGACCCGTACTCGGGTATTCCACGATGGGATGGATGTTCCAGTCGAAAGCTGTCAGTTACGCTAAAGATGCCGGACGGTGCTAACATATTTCCGAACATTCGATCCAGAGTGAACAACCGTATTGCAGCAGTTCCGTGAAAATCGCAGGGTCTGTGCCACTAATACAATTTCGAGCTATGAATCGACAGAATGCATTTTACGAGCGATACGGACGCAAGCAATTCGCAGAGCACGTGGGGGACGAATTGTAAACACAGCAGCACGCGAACGCTCAGCTATAAAAGTGATGGATGTACTCACTAAACGAAACAGTGGTCGGCTATCGGGTTTGAATGAGCTCTCTGTCGGTAGTACCGCTTCTGAGGTAACTTGGCTTCATCCATGCTCATCAACGAAAAATTGCCGAAACGACCGAAACACAACACAGACAGGCGAATCGTCGCTACGTAGACGGTAACATAACACTCGTGCTTATTTTCAAGGCAACGCTAGTTCAGGTCGCTCTGGTTTCGGCCTTGTTCTGCTTTCGACAGGTGTTTTGTTATCTTCACGCAAATTTCTATACAAAGGTACAACTGTAGTCTCGCCGCAGCATGAACAGTTTTTCGTGTGCAGGCCTTCACACGACCTTTTCTGTTCTGCAGTAGGCGTAATCAGGCTGATGATGATAATGACAGTGAATTAAAAAAACAATTAATAAAAGTTACAACATTGTAGTGCAATCTGTTGCTAAAACAAAGAAAGTACACGCTGATTTTCAGGCACTACGAGACGTTTTAGCAGTTATAGTTTGATTAAAAAGAGCACTCTAACAAGTCTTACGTTGTTTTGCCAAAACAGCGAGAGATGGCGCAACAATTCTGTTTTCTCTCACGTAGGAGCACATTTTTATATATGCCGGCAAATTTGAGTGAGAGAAAGCGAGTGCATCAGCCCGGCGATGTACAGAAGCCGCCAAATGTTCCCAGGTCCATTTATTCTTGTAGCAGCATAGCCTGGCAACATTTGACCACCCCGACCCCCAGGTACATATATCTGCAACAGTAGGTTCAATCTTGCATCTTGCACAAAACAACTCGTTGGTACGAAACAAAACAGCTTGATGATACGAGTACAAAACAGCTTTATGGTACGATCTTGCACAAGACAGCTCGTACCATCAGCACCTGCAGACAAGAGAAACGATCTGAGAGCGATTCACGCAACTGGCCTTGGAATTCGAAGCTTCTTTATGTAAGGCCAATCCTTTTGACTTTTCCTTGGCAGTCGCTCGCTGGATTTCGTGTTGACCAGTTGTACCCACCCGATCTCCGACGACAGCGCAGCTCTGGCCGACTGGCTCGCACTACGCCATCTCTTGACGCCGACAAGAGCTTTCGCTGAGTGGTGCCCCGTCCTCGGACTCCTGCGACCGGGTTCATCTTTCCTATCTTCTCCTTACTTCCGTATGTGGCTGTCCCTGCCCCTCCCTCTATCTCTATATCATTAATTCCTCCCTATCCTATTAATCCCTCCTTACGCCCATCCCTCGTGAGCTACTGTTGAGGTGTCCTCACCATGAGATAATATTACAAGGCTTACTCCTATCTTCTTTTCATTTAAAAATCACTCCCCCACACATTTCTTCTTTGGAGCATCGGCGCAACGCATGAGATCAAAGAGATAGTGTAACAGCAAAAAAAAAAAAAAAACAAAAAAAAATCTTCACCAGGCCCGTGCCCCCTCCCCCTCCTCGGAAACTTTTGTCACCATGGCATAGAGAGCGGAAAATGACCATTTTAAGGGGTGCCCTCCCCAGAATAATGGAGGTGCTCCCTCCCTCGCCCCCCCCCCCCCCCCCCTGGAAAAAATGTCTGGGTACGGCCCTGATACAGGGCCCTAACAATGATGTGCGGGGTGAGGTGGGTTTGGGAGATTTATGACTCCATGAAAATTTCTCATGCTACGACTTTTCGGGTGATACTGAAACTTACAGAGGTGCGCGAATATCAGAATTCTGGGTGCGAAGCAAATTCCAATACTCCAGCACAGACAGCAAGATTAACCAACAGTGTGCAACGTTCAATGTTGACTGGCAATCTTGAAGGCCGTGTCGCACAGATATGCGAGACCTAAATGTTCTTATCAAGCTTATCGGTACTGCGTAGAAAAATACCCGAAGTTCTAGTGGCCAAGTTCGGAATAAACCCACTTATGACCACATGATTAAATTTATTCCACTTTATTTTTTTTCTCTATATAATGCTTACAATATTTGCAATGCAGTTAAGAAACCACAAATACCGCCCCCTGTGGTTTACTTAGCTTAATTGTTCACCGGTCTCATTAGTTTGCAATCCATAAAACGAGCCCCTCGGACGTTCTCCTACTTACTTTCGTACTAGCATAGTAATGCACTTCATCTGGTTATAACAGTGTCGTATGAACGAATGACACCAAGGGGTAGATTTTGGGGGTGGGGGAAAGGTTCAGAAGCACGCATAGATACACCCTTGAATTTTTTTTTTCTTTTTGTGACGTTGCTGAAAGCGAGACCTAAAGCTATTTCCGTGCTGTCATGTGTACCTTACGACAGTTTTACACATCTACGAGAAGGAAATGAGGCGCTGCGATCGTTGTTGGGTAGTATACGAGGGCGGTCTAAAAAACTCTCCACCTGATGTAGAAAAAAAAAAGCATGGGCCTTCGAAATTTTTATTTTTCAACATAGTCTCCTCGCAGCTCTGCATACGTAATGCGTCGATGTTCCAGAGCCAGGATTCTGTTCTTAAAATGACTTTATGGAAGTACTTTAAAGTACGCGTACTCCAGCAGCAATCGCTTCTTCATATGATGGAAAACGTTGCTCACAAAGAGAGATTTTGAGTTTCGGGAACAGGCGGTAGTCAGACAGGGCCAAGTCAGGAAAATAGACGGGGGGGGGGGGGGGGGATGCTCCAACAATTCTTACTTCAAGTCGTCCCAATTTATGCATTGCAAGATGCCCTTTGTGCACCGGTGGATTGTCTTCATGAAAGCTGATTTTCTTCTTGTGCAAATCTGGTCTTTTCTCATAAATTTTCTGATCCAATCGTGTAAAAAGCTTCGAATGATACTACGCAGTTATTGTCATATTTTTCGGGTTATTCTACAAGCAGAATGTTTTTAGCGGCCCCAAAAACAGAGGCCATCACCTTTTCTGCCGAGGAACCAACTTGGCTTTCGCTGATGTGGAGGAGCCGGTTTCAGTCCACTGATTTTATTGTTGTCTTGAACCCTGTGTGCAATGGTGAATTCAAATTTTATCTACTATTATGAATTTCCGTGAAAGTGGCGCTGGATTTTTGTTATACTACTCCAAAGTACGCTGTGACACCGTCATGTGGTTGCGTTTTTGCCAAGGAGTAAGAATGCGAGGCCCCCATCTTGCACACAGCTTCTTCATGTGTAGTTGCCCCGCCGCCGTGGTCTATAGTGGCTAATACACTCTGCTGCTGACCCGCAGGTCGCGGGATCGTATCCCGGCTGCGGCGGCTGAGTTTCCGATGGAGGCGGAAATGTTGTAGGCCCGTGTGCACAGATTTGGGCGCACGTTAAAGAAACCCAGGTGGTCGAAATTTCCGGAGCCCTGCACTACGGCATCTCTCATAATCATATGATGGTTTTGGAACGTTAAACTCTCTGACGATAGTTACAGCGTGAGGACGGAACAACGACACAGACATGTCCTTCTTGTCTTTTTTGTCGTCGTTCTGTTCTCGCGCTATGACTGTCGTCGTGTCATACCAACCAGCCCAAACTGCCACACTTCTATGTTAAACTCCACTATCAATAAATTCAAAAATCACCACGCTCGTCGCGAGAAGATGCTTGGTAGGCGAGAAAACGTGAAGAAAGAAAATTGGGGGTGGCGAAGCAATTTTAAGATCTCTGCATCCACGCTATGACGTCATAAATATTGACAGTGTTTAGTGAGACATATACATAGTTCCTAACAGGTAAGAATGAAGCACAAGCTCTGCTGCCGGGTCATCAGATTGACATACCGAGTTTGGAAACATTTTGTTGAGGCAATCTCGATAAAATAGCACCACCCTGTCGCGGTGGTGTAGTGGCTAAGGTACTCGGCTGCTGGCCCGCAGGTCGCGGGATCGAATCTCGGCTGCGGCGGCTGCATATTCGATTGAGGTGGAAGTGTTGTCGGCCCATGTACTCAGATTTGGGTGCACGTTAAATAACCCCAACTGGTAGAAAATTCTGGAGCTCCCCACTACGGCGTCTCTCATAATCATATGGGGGTTTTCGGACGTTAAACCACACTTATCAATGAAATCTTTGTGTGCAATTCGTTGTGTAAAATGCGACCTACACGTTTCCCTGAGGTGCTAACATCGTCGGCCAATTCGCGCAACTTTACTCACCTGTTTTTTTTTTTTTTTAACAGTATCGGGCACGCGGTCAATAAATTCAGGAGTTGTTGCACTTTTTGGGCGCCCATCACACGGGCAATCTCCACTGCGATCACTTCCTGCTTAAACTCAGCAGCCCATTTCTTGACTGTGTAGTATGAAGATGAATCTTGCTTGTAAACTTTCAAACAAACCTTTGGTAAATTTCGTTCTGAGATAAACCTCCTTTTACAAAGAACTTTATCACCGCACGGTACTCAAGCTTCTACGTGTCTTACGGTGTTTCACACTACACACACTGGGATCAGTTGTCAAGGGCTAACTGCTAGTCGACACTAGAGGGCGTTCCTTCCGAGACTTGCAGAAACTTGTAAGAACGCGCACCCGAGTGCTGCAAGTTCTAGCACACGTGATTCTCATTGAGGCCGAGAACTTTTCAGACCACCCTCGTATCTAGAGAGAGGCTAATATATCTACTCACCGATAGTCCTCATGGTAATAAGGGCTGCAGCGCGAGCACGAAGGTGCTAGAAGAAACAGACGAAACGCGAGGCACGGAAGGCAAAGAGGACAACACGAGCGCTGACTACCAACTGAATTTTATTATTCGCAGCACACATGATAATATATATAACAGGCAACCTTTTAACAGGAAACGTGAGCAACGTGACATATTCTGGGGAATGGTTTGATAAAAAGAAGGTACAATGATAAAATGGCTAACCCTTATCTAAAAGCGCAAACTCTTTGTCATGCAAGGTCACCGAAGGTTGGCTCACGCATCCGTCACTATGTTTTCTAATAAAATACGCTTCTGCTATTTTCTGAGTTAACTTGTCCATGTGGCGTGCCAGCACACTCACGCCCGGAAATCGAGGCTGGCACCCGCAGCTTTTGCAGTGCAAAACAAGACCGTTCCCCGGAATATGGCACGTTGCTCACGTTTGCTGTTAAAAGGTTGCCTGTTATATATATTATCATGTGTGCTGCGAATAATAAAATTCAGTTGGTAGTCAGCGCTCGTGTTGTCCTCTTTGC